GGGGGGGGGGGGGGGGGGGGAGGGGCGATGCGAGGGGGTGTTAGTGGGTGCGAGCGCTCACGTGGATGCGCGCACGCGCACGCGCACGCCCACTCACCTTGGCGTTGAATGCCTTGGAATGATCAGCCGACTTGGCATTTCGATCCTTGGCAGCTTTCCCACGGTCCTTGGAAGCTCTGTGAGCGCGATGAGTTTGCTCCGACATGGTGGCAGGCGCGGGGGGAATGTGACGTGGACGGTGGCGGTGGCGGGGGGAGGACGGGGGGGACAAGGAGAGGATGGATCAGCGCGAGCACGAGCGCGAGTCGCGAGTTCAAAATTCGCACAAGGCGTCAAGAGATTTGGAAATTTCTCGCGCGAGAGGAGGCGGGCACGTGATCGAGAATCGAGCGTGCGCTTGCGCTTGCGCGCGCCCATCGCACGTCACGCCGCCCCCTCGTACACGCTCGGCACGCACGCACGCACGCACCACCACCATCCCACGCACCCACGCACGCGGACGCACCCACCCACACCATGTCGTACTACTTTGTCATCATCTCTCCTCGCGATTCGCCGCTGTACGAGGTGCACCTATCCTCCAAGCCAAGCGGTGGAGGAAGCGCAGGACTGAGCGCAGGACTTGGAGGATTCGGGGGCGGTCTGTTTGGTGGAGCGAGCACGAGCACGAGCACGAGCGCGCAAAGCAGCACAGCAGCAGCAGCAGCGAATTGGAGCTCGGACGCCACCGCAACTACGCCCAAAGCTTCGCTTGCTGCTTTGCCGAGGCGGGACGACGACGACGACGACGACGGCAACATACCACCGGGTGGCGCATTCAACTTTTCGGCTTCTTTGAGCGCGCTGGCCAGCGGTCTGAGAGGCTTGGATGGACTGGGCGGCGGTGCCTCTGCGTTCAGCGATGGTGCTGCTGGTGCGACCGCTGCTGGAGCGACCGCCACCGCCGCCACACCCCGCGCCGCTACAGGACTGACAAGCTACACGTGGCGCTCCACGCTTCAAATGATCGCTCACTCCTCTCTCGATTCCATCTACGACAAGTCCCTCTGCACCTCTCAAATGTACCTCCGCACCATCGATCGAACGCATCAACAATTCGTCTCTTGCTTTCTGCTGCCCAATCGCTACTTTTTCGTCATTCTTCACGAACACAAGCACGAAGAGGGCATTAGAAACTTTTTCTTGGATGCGTGGGAATTGCTCCTCAAGACGTTTATCAATCCGCTTCACGATCCCCTCAACCCCATCAGGAGTCCGGCTTTCGATACGAGGATCAGAGCTAGCGCTAGGAGGCATCTCTAGGCGTGGGCGAGCGGGCGAGCGGGCGAGCGGGAGCTGGAGGTGAGCTGGAAGAAACGTTGGCATTCGCGGCACCTCTCGCTGGAACAAACGTTGGCATTCACACGGCACGTCTCGCTGGAACAAACGTTTGAATTCGCATTCGCATTCGCACGCCCGCACCCGAACCCGCACCCGCACCCGCACGCCGGCTCACACGCCCGCACCCGCACCCACACCCGCACCACGCCGGCTCACGCGCTGCACACCAACCACGATGCCCTTTCCCAGCCTCTCAATCTCCTCGCAGACCGCCTCGCAATTCAGCCTGACCATCTTGTCCTTGCCATCGCCGCCGCACGGCACGCTAGAATAGCCCAGCAACGGCTTAAAGGGTCTTTCAGCCAGCAAAGACGGGTTCCACAATCCGCCAATGACGCTTCCTCCGTGCGCATCGTAGAACAATCGCAGCGTATCCGAAAAGAGGGACTGCGGGCGCGCGCGCGCGTTCAAGTCAGTCAGCGCGAGGGCTCGCTTGCACGCACGCACGCACGCACGCACTCACCATCAACAGATTGACGAAATCCGATCCGACATCGAATGCTGGTCGAGGCAAGATGCCAAAGCGGGACGCGGCAAACGGCGACGCCAAGTTGGCAAATTTCGTGCGTGCGTGCTGCTGCGCGCTCGCGATCGCAGAGGGGTCGAATGCGAGCGATTGAGCGTAGCGTGGCAGCACGGTGGGATCGAGGTGGATCAAGAAATCGTAGTGCGAGAGAGAGGGCGTAAAGATGGACTGCGCGCGCGTGTGCGTGTGGATGGTCAGCGCACGCAATGTCAGCGTCGCGCTCGCTCGCTCGCCGCGCCGCGCTCGCTCGCTCGCACCACTCACTCGAACTTCCATGGCGCTCATGCCCGCCCCCCTCTCTAGGATAATGGCACACGCCGCACCGGCCAATCTCTGCATCGCGTGCGCCTCTGCAGCTGTAGGTCCTCTGCTGGCAAAATCCGCACCCTTCAAATCCATCTCCGTGACAATGATCCAAGCTCGCGTCTCGCAAGAAGGATCTTGCGCTCGAAGCGTTTTAAGGTCGTCTTGCGCTCGCAACGCCGCATCCACGTCAAACTTTGCAAGCTTTCCCGCGCGCACATCTTCTTCCGATTGCTCCACGGCTGCATGTCCTGCTACGAGCAGCGCTTCCTCTTTCCAATTCCAAAGCGCGAGCATCTGCAAGGAGCGCAGAAAGCCCGCAGAGGCGCTGCACGGCGCACGCGACGCGGCCAAGAATACGCGCAAGACGACCAGTTCGAGCAGTTCGGGGGCAATGTGGGAGAGCATCTGACACGATGTCCACCTCTTTAGCAATCGACACGTCTCTGAAAATGCAATGAAGCGATTTTGAAGCGTAGAGACGAGCGCGTGATGACGGGCAGAGACGTCGAAACGGCGAGAATGGCGTGCGAGGGCTGCGCCCGCGCGCGCGCCCGCCCGCGCCAACAAGGTGCGCTCCCGCTCGTGGTGGATGCGAGCGCGAAATGCGAATCCTTGGCTGAGGGTGATTTCCAGGTGGTCGTCGTCGTCGCCGTCGTCGTCCGCGTCGGCGTCGCTGCGCACCACGACGGCGCGCGATCCCTCGAGCGCGAGCGGCAACATTTCGGCCATCTTTTGGTAAAAGGCCAGCTTCATTGCTCGAATCGCTGACAATTCGTCTGGCCATTTTCCCGAACTCTCTAGCGTGAGGATGAGGTCGTGTGCGGGCAGATGGGATGCCGCGTCGGGTATTCGAGTGCCGAGATTGTCCAGTACGAGCGGCGGGGGAATGAATACGCTGGTGCATCGAAGAGCTTCCGCTGCTGGAGCGATGGCGATCAGGGCGAGCGGCAAGCCTTGCAATGCGCGCAATGCGCGGCAAAGCTGTTCAAAGGCGGATTGCACGGCTTGAAAGCCGGTCTTGCTGGTGTCTTGCAGCGATGCGCACGCTTCGATGATTGCAGGCAGCTGCAACAAGCCCTCGTAAGCGTCGGCATGCCACTGCACCGCCTGCGCGCGGGCGCCCGCGTGACGAGCAAGAATGTGCTCCACCATCTTTCGAGGGATTCGTCCGCGTCCCTCGGCCGGCCAGACGACGGCTTCGACGATGCGACCGTCGCGGAATCGACGCAACTCTGACAAGTCTCCCCAGAATTGCTTAAAGGATTGTGCGCCTGCAGCGTCTTCTGGCGCTGGTCCATGCTCCACCAATCGCAGAGCGTGTTCGGCGTCGAGCACAAGCGCGAGGTCGACGTTGTCGTTGCACGGGCGAGGCGAGTCGATGGACCACGTAGATGCGCCGCCATCAAAGCAAGCGACGTACTTGGCGCGCGATCCGAGTGCGCGGAGTGCCAGGCTCGCGAGGGCGTCCGTGGTCGCGACGCTCGCACCCACGCTGGCCACCTCGTCAAACGTCAGCAGAGGAGAGCTGCGGTCGTCGATGAATAGCTCCGCAAATGCATCCCCGCCCGCAACGTCCAACAGCGCGATCGAGGCGCTGGCGGATGCTGCCATGTGCGAGAGCGTACCTTGGGGTATGCCTGCCAATAAATTCAGAGCGCCAGTCGGGTCCACGAGGCAGGGCGCGAACCACTGCTGGCGCGAAATGTCGGCAGTGTGATTGGGAATGCCGGCAATGTGCTTCATAAAGGCGACCTTGCTCAAGCGTCGCGCCAAGAAATCCAGCACGGCTCGAAAGAGTTGATAGCTGCTAAAGCCTGCGCCTGCGCCATCGTGAAGGAGATGGGCGAGGATCATGGTCAAGAGGAATCGTGCGGATGCGGACCCCACTGCGCAAGCTCTATCTCCGCCCCCCAAACCCCTCTTGAAGGCCCACGTCTTGAGCAGGAGACAGGCATCGGCGAATGCTGGACAAGAGGATGCAGTGGCGTGCAGATAAAAGAGGTGCGCCACGCGCAGACTATCGCGAAGGATGCTGCTGTCGTGCGCGTGTGACGCAGCACCCTCGTGCGCTTCGTCGACGCTCACTTTGTCGGCCCTCGCGGGACCCAACCTGCGAAGAGGAAAAAGGCCCAACGCGTGGGACAAGTGGATGCGCACGACGACTTTTTGTTTGGAAAAGTCGGTCTCCTTTTGGTCTTTGCGGGGCAGCAAGACGAGCGTGGTGTGGGCATCGACGCGCGCGTCCGCCGTCGCCGCCGTCGCCGTCGCCCCCGCCGCCGCTTCGAAGCGCACACGAAGGCCGAGATGAGGAGCAGAGGCAATGGAAGCTGCTAGTGCGGCGCAGTAAAAGGCGCGCTTGGCCGCATACCTGCCTGCGCGCACATCCTTGACGGAAAAGAGCCAGCTTGGCATCTGCACGTCCATGTCGACATTGATCGGTGCAGATCGTATGGCTGCTGTGCGAAGAGGCCAAGAACCGACGAGATGGACGGCTGTGGGAGGAGCAAAGGCGTAGGCGTGCTTGCCCCGAGGTGCAGCGCCTGGCCAAGGGATGCGGACGTGGACGCCAGGAAAGGCGTTGTGGAGCGATGCTTGAGCCGAGTCAAAGGGGACGCCTGGCAGCGTGGGCAGCTGATCCAGGTGCGCCTTGAGTCGATGCAGGGCCACATCCAGCGTGCCAGTCGAGTCGTAGCGTGGACGTAGAGCAGGCAGCATTGCTTCGATCTGCGTCGCGTGGCGTCAGCAAAGACACTCGGATTAGGTTGTCGCGCATCGCGAAGCGAAGCGAAGCGCATGCCCACACTCACCTGAAGCTTGAACACGCCATCCCGATACAGCTCTCCCGTGGCGCGCAACTGATTCACCTCGTCTGCGGATGGCATGGCGTACAATCGCGTGTGTGGGTGTGGGTGTGGGTGTGGTGGCGCCGGTGCGTGCGCGTGCGCAGGTGCGGGTGCGGTGGCTTCCTCCCCCTCCAAATCCTCAAACCCGCCATCTTCGTCGTCGTCGTCGTCGTCGTCGCTCGGTGTGGTGGATGTGTGCGTGCTGGGCGCGCTTGGTGCAGGCGCAATGGGTGCAACCCGTTTGATGGGCGATCTCGGCCCCGACCTCGCTCCTCGGGTTGCCAATTTGCGTTTGAGGCCAGGCATCGTGCCGTGCCGTGCGAGCGTGAAGGAGGGCAAAGTGAAGCGAGCGTGAAGGATGGCTCCCGTGAAGGATGGGCTCCCGTGCAGCAGGGCTCCCGTGAAGGAGTTGCGCTCACTTTTCGCGCGATTTCAATAAAATTCAAAAATTGCAGCCCCCCCGCGCGCGCGCGCTTCTCGCACGAAAAGAGGGAACATGTCACGTGCACCGCGTGCGTGCGCGCGCGCGCGCCTGCATCGCGCGAACATTTCAAGGTTCACCGTGATTCACGATTCAGATTGCGCTCCATTCGCGCTCACCACCATCATCAAGCGCACGCGCACGCGCACGCATACACCCACGCACACGCACACGGCCCACCCCCACCCCACCACCATGGCCAAGAAGAAAAAGGCACCGCTTCTAGAAGCGTGGTGCTGGTATTGCGATCGCGAATTCGAGGATGAAAAGGTCTTGTTGCAACATCAAAAGGCCAAACATTACAAGTGTCCTCATTGTCCGCGTCGACTCAACACTGCTGGAGGTCTCACTGTGCATCTCCATCAAGTTCACAAGGCAGAGCCTACGTTGTGAGTGCGCGTGGTGGCGTGAGCGTGAGCGTGTGCGTGTGCGATCACTAACACGCGACACGCGACACGCGACACTTGCCAGCATCGAGAATGCATTGCCAGGCAGGGAATCCTTTGATGTGGAGATCTACGGCATGACGGGCATTCCAGCTGCAGATTTGGAAGAGTGGAAATCCAGAAGGGGTAGATCGACGGGGCAAGATCCATCCAATCCATCAGGTCAACCATCTGCCAAGCGTCCCAAAGTGGAGAGCGTGGCATTGACACCTGCTCAGCTCAAAGCTCAACTCGAAGCTCACAAGGCTCTCATGGCCGGCAAGAGTCACGCCGAAGCTGCCGCTGCCGCTGCCGGTGCTGGCGCTGGTGCCGCGACTCCGGCTTCATCTGCTGCTGGTCCTTCCTCTGCCGCTTCGCCACTACCTCCACATTTGGCCTATCCCGGTCCACCACCGCCGTTTGGTCCTCCGCCTGGTTTCAACCCGTGAGTCGTGCGCGTGTGCGTGCGCGTGCGGGTGTGCGTGTGTGTCGGTGCTGACACACGCGCTCGCCTTTGCCCCCCTTGCCCAGCGCCATTCGACCCCCTCCGTTTGGACCACCTCCAGGTATGGGCTCGCCAGCTTATCCGCACGGTCCACCACCAGGTTTCGCGCTCGCAGCGCCGCCTTTTTCAGGAGCGCCGTCGGGAGCGCCGCCTTATTCAGGACCTCCACCAGGATTCGGTACGCCTGCAGCCATGTCTCCACCAGCAGGCGCTTCGAGTCCGTGGATGCGGTCCGCGGCGAGCGCTACCGCGACTGCGAGTGCCAGCGCGAATGCCACCACCGGTCCCAGTCCTCATCAATTGGCGGTGCAAGGAGGCGCCAAGTCGCGCATGGTGTATACGGATGGCGAATTGTCGCCAGAGGAAAGGTTGGCCCTTGAGCCGAGGTATGCATACAAGGAGCCCGACGATGATGCGAGCGTGGCAGTGGGGGCGGCAAACGATCCGGGGGCGGGCACAAACGATCCGGGAGCGGGGGTGGGAGCATCGCATCACTACGCTGGACCCCACGCGGAGTCGCATCACTACGCTGGACCACCACCAGGCTTTGCGGCTCCACATCACACGCAACAAGCAAGCGGCGCAAGTCCCGCAGCACCTCCTCCCGCTTAGGCAAGGCAGCGTGCGTGCGTGCGGTGCGGTGCGGTGCGGCATTCTGTTTTCCGCAATTCCGCACCGCATTCAATGGGCTCCCCTCTTTCATCCCCTCTAGCACTCTCGAACTGGAGTACAGCGCCGCGCACAGCACCAGGAAGGGGCACCAAGGTGCGTCCTTTGACGACGTGTTCCTCGGTATTGCTGACGCCTCTCGCACGCGCACGAGCACGAGCAAGAATATGATGATCCGTTTCGAGGTGCTAAATGTGTGTGTTTTCGACTGCGTGCGCGCGCGCGCGCGCAAGGTACAAATGAATGTGATGGAGAACGATACGAACGCGAGGTGCCCCCGGCAGCCAATCTCGTGACTACTTGAACGCGCTGCACCTTGTTCTTCCTTTTGACTGCCCGAGCGGTCAAGACGAGTGCAGTCGAGACGAGTGCAGTCAAGTCGAATCGCTCTCCTTTGACATTTGCAATCCCTCGACGCGAGTATAAAGGGGGCGACGTTTTGCCTCTTTTCAGGTCACTACAGCCACATCCACACGCACACCCGCACACCCGCACACCCGCACCCGCACCCGCACTCCCTCTTCAACATGCGCCCCTCTACTCTTCTCCCGCTCTGCTCCATCGCCCTCGCCCTCGCGGCGTCCACGCGCTCGTTGGCCGCTCCCATTCCCTCGCACAATGAGAGCAGCGAGGGCGACGACTTGACCAAATTCTACGTCGGTGAGTGGGGCGCGAGCGCGAGCGCGAGCGCGGGCGCGTGGACCAGACTCGAACTCACAATGCGCGCCCCGCACGCACACGCACGCACGCAGACGTGACGTTGCCAGAAGACGTGACGCCAGACGATGCGCCAGGCAAATGGACGACATTGTGCAAGAAAGTCGCTGGCGCTCACACCAAGCAGCATTTCGAGCCTGATGCCGATAAGCCCGCTGAGTACAAGGCTGCATGCGCTTCCTTTAGCGTCGACGCCAAGACCAAACAGATGTGAGTGGGCGGGCGTTGCGTTGCGAGCGCAGACGGTCCAGCGCGCGCGCGCTCGCTCGCTCGCTTGCTCACGCTCACGCTCACGCTCACGCTCACGTTGGCTCGCGCTTCATCCACAGCACGCTTACGAACCGCACGTCCGATGTGGTCAAGGAGTGGAACAAGGTCAAGCTGGACATTGAGCCTGGCACGATGCCGTATCGCATTGGTCCGATGATTCCCATCGACGCGCTCCATTAAGCGGTGCGAAAGTGGAACCCCATCCAAAATCTCTTTTCGTTTGAGCATCGCGGCATTACGCTCGCGCTCTTGCCATCTGTACCGTACCGAAATGACGCACCGTACCGAAACCTTCCTTGACGCACCGTACCGCACCGAAACTTTCCTTTTTCCCCTTTTCGCCATTCATCCCGCCCTTTTCGCCCTTCTCGCCCTTCTCGCCCTTCTCGCCCTCCTCGCCCTCCTTACCGCCCTTACCGCCCTTCTCGCCAATTCAATCATTGTCTGCACACGCGCGCAGTGATTCCTTGCCCCGTCCCGAGCGGTTTGAGCGCGACTCTGTGCCTTTCCATTTGCGCACTCGGTCGGATCCGCGTTCAAAACACCATCCACCGAGGGGCAGCAGAACCTTATTCAGGGCGCCGAGCGCGTGCACACGGTGCGGAATGACAACGTGTGGACACGCACGCATCCACCGCGCCTCGACGTCTATAAAACGAGTCACTCGCGCGATTGCGATGCACATCAAA